ACTAAGTGTTCTCAGTGTCTATTGGTTTGCATTGAGCAGTGTTGCTATCACACAGAAAAGTTTTGTAATCCTTGAAAGCACCCTTAAGTATATAATTCCATTTCCATCAGTTTTGCTAATGCGAGTAGTTCTCTTCATGTTTCTGCAGATGTTATGGTCGAGGACTGAAACTGATGTCTTCACCAAATACATGGTGTGATCTTGGAATAAATTATTATAATCAAGTGCAGCATCTTGCAGCCACGGACAGTAACAGTAACAAAAATGAAATCAGTGAACTTTTAGAGAGATCCATACAGGTAATTTCTCCAGTACAATATACAATATTAAGCTTACTGCTTTTGTAGCATCTCCAAGCTATAGATAAAGTACCATATTCCTTAGCATGGTATATAACATTTGACACATGTTGAATTAACACAGTGTTGAATTACAATACTGAGATCTCAGTCTCTTCCAGTGCCTGAAAAAAGCAGTGCGATTAGACAGTAAAAATCATCTCTACTGGAATGCCCTTGGTGTGGTAGCCTGTTGCAAAGGTACGTTTTAATGTAAACCTATTTTTTTCCCATAATTTAAAGTTTTAATATCACAGAGGGTGTTACAGACAAATCTGTATTTTTTAGGTGTTGGAAATTACGCCCTTGCTCAACATGCATTCATTAAATCTATTCAAACTGATCAAATTGTAAGTACTCTTGATAGCTGTATCTATTTTAAAGGAGACTACCAGCATCTTAAATTCGTCCTTTGAAAACCCCCTTTCTTTTGTTTAGAACGTGGTTGCCTGGACCAATCTGGGAGTTTTGTATTTAACAAGTGGAAAAATAGAGGTAAGTGCATGTGTTTATATGATGCTTCTGAACAATATCTTCTTGAAAATGATTAAGTACAAGGAAGTATGTGACATATAACCAGTAATGAAACAATGCAAAATGTTGCACTCCCAATAACTTATTGGAGCAATTAAATATTAATATATACAATTTGGGTGCCAATATTTATTACTTTTTTATTTTATCTTTCCTGTACAATCTCAAGGCAGCTTACTTGGAAAGTTATTGTATCAAAATAATTTTGTAGGTTAGGATGAGAGAGAATGGCTGGCCATAAGTCTAGAGAATACTGACCCATGAGAGTAAGGATAGATTTGAAACTGGATCTTCCTAATCCAAAACCTGTATGATGCTAGCACAGTGGTGGTGAACCTATGGCACGGGTGCCAAAGGCGGCACTTGGAGCCCTCTCTGTGAGCACATGTGCCGTTGCCCCAGCCTTGCCTCCCCCGTGACCCCCTCCTCACCAGCAGCCTCCCGCCGTGACCCCCTCCTCACCAGCAGGCCCCCAGAGGAGAGTTGCCCCCGAGCGTGGCCCAGACATGGCAGCCAGACAGCGTAGACAAGACTCTGCCCTCACACCCCATTGTGCACAGTTGATGCTGCGGGGCCCGGGCAGAGGACGTGGTTGCCATGGTGCTGCTGGGCGATCTGCGGTGGGCCCTGGAGGCGGTGAATGGCCCTGCGGGCAGGCGGGGTGGGGGCAGGGCAGGGGCGGGGCAGGGGGTGGAGCGGGGGCAGGGCCAGTTTTTGGGCACTCGGTCTCTAAAAGGTTCGCCATCACTGTGCTAGCACTATATAGTTATTTATATATAAATCGTCGGTGATGAACAGAATCATTAAGCATGTCTTGCTACAGTTAGATCTCTTGCACAATCTAGTTGTTACCTAGAGACACCTCAGGAATTGCTGAAAGGCTTCAGCAACAAAAACAAAAGAAATGTATTTAACACTATATTTATAAATATAGAATAGAACATACAGGTATTTCTCTCTTAACCTCTCTTTTAACTGGAATTTCTATCACTAAGCAAAATGGTTATTAACTGAAATGTCATATGATTGCATTGCTTAGTGATGTTAGCTTTGGTAGTCCTGGTTGCAGTTGTTAAGGAAGGACCTCACACTTCTTCTGTCCTGTGCAAACTTCTGGCTCCATTTCATTATCATCTCAAGAAGGCCCAACAAGCTCCTTCCAGCAGATTGAGGCTCCACAGCCCTGCAACGCTTGCTTCTGCTTCAACACCCCCCGCCCACCTAATTCCCCCTATCTCTGCACTTTTTGACCACCATCCACTCTGCCACTACCTAGCCTGCCGCCCCCAGCTGATGTTTGGGAGGAGGCAGTGGGACAGAGCCAGCGGAGAAGGTAGGGTGGTGATACAGGCAGCAACTGCCCCACTGAAGGTGGTGTTGTCTGCTAGTTATTGCTAAATAGTGCTGATCTGAAACTTTGCAGTCCAGGTATGGCAGCCATGGAAGTTTGAATGAAGCCTATGAGTAGAAAAATCATGACTGTACAGTTTGGTTTAGTGGTTAAGGCAAAGGTGTGAAAGTGTGAGACCATCTTAGCCATGAAAGCCAGCTGGGTGACTTAGGGCCAGTCATTATCTCTCAGCCCAACCCACCTCATAGGGCTGTTTTAGTAGGGAAAATAAGAGTTATTTGTAAAAAATAATAAAGGGGAGTAGAAAATAATTAAATAAACAAATAATAATAATAATAATAATAATAATAATAATAATAATAATAATAATAATAATAATAATAATAATAATAATAATAGTAATAATAATAATAATAATAAAGTTGGAAGGGACCTTGGAGGTCATTGAGTCCAACCCCCTGCTCAGGCAGGAAACCCTATACCATTTCAGACAAATGGCTATCCAGTCTCTTCTTAAAAATTTCCAGTGTTGGAGCATTCACCGCTTCTGGAAGCAGGTTGTTCCATTGGTTAATTGCTCTAACTGTCAGGAAGTTTCTCCTTAGTTCTAGGTTGCTTCTCTCCATAGTTACTTAATACATATTTAATCCTTTTCACCCAATTTAATAATTCTGTGTTGATTTTATGTAACTCTTCCAGCAAGCGCATGAAGCTTTCAAAGTAGCCCAGTCTCTGGAACCTTCCCATCTAACCTGTTGGATTGGACAGGTAGAGTCTCTAATTTCTTTCAAATGCATATTTATGTAGCAACATTATTAAGATTTAAACAGCACATGTTTAATACAGCTCCTATTAATCAAATTGCCAATATAGCAAGTTACTTAAAGTATATGCCTTGGTTTATCCCTACACTTGACCTTGGTGGGTGAGTAGATAGGAAAAGAGATGGAGAGAATCACTGGTATACCTTTAAATTTAATATAGATAGAACATTTTTTATTCAAATACAAGGTAGTTTCTTTTCTATCACTGGTTGATCTTTATATGCTGCACCTTCAGCAATGACTACATTTAGTGGTGTTTTCACTTTGTGATAAGGCATTTAATGCCTATGGTTATTTTTTCAGACACTGTGGAAGCATTTACTAAGATTGGAGCTATTATTCTGCAGATGTAAATGAAACTAGCTAGATTCAAATAACATTTTGCTATACTTGATTTTAACTTTTTGTTAATCAACTTGTGGTGAGGAATAAACAGGCTATGTTTGAGGCATGTATTGTCAAAGCAGATAAATTTAAGTTTTCAATTTTATCTTATTCTCTTGTTAGGCCCTTGTTGCAGAAACTGTTGGCAGCTATGAAACAATGGATCTCTTCAGACACACCACTGAACTCAGCATGCATGTAAGCTGATTTAATCAGATACATTATATGGCAGTTCTGAAACAGAGCTGTAATTTTGATTCAGTCTTTACCCTCAATATATTTGTGATGTTAGCTAAATCAACCAGATGTCTAACTCTTGGGCATGTGCTTAAGTAACAATAAAACAATTTCCTGAGCAGTTGTTAATTCCAGTTCTTCTCCAATAGACGGAAGGTGCAAAAGGCTATGCCTATTGGGTGTGCTCAACCTTGCAAGATAAAACCAACAGAAATACTGAACTATATAAGTACAACATCCTTCAGATGAACGCTATTCCAACAGCACAAGTTGCTTTAACCAAATATACAGGTAACTTTTTTTGAAGATTTTTTTTTAAATCCCACCTGTATTCTATAAACAACTTGATGTGGATGGCTAATATATGTAGTACTCATTCCTTCCTTCTATTTTTACACAACAATAACCCTGTGAGGTGAGTTGGGCTAAGAAAAAGAGACACTGGCTCAAAGTCAACCAGGCAGCTTTCATGCCTAAAGCAAGACTAGAACTCACAGTCTCTTTGTTTCTAGGCCAGCCCTTTAACCACTACACCAAACTGGCACTCTCCATCCTACATTTAAAATGCTAGATGATTTCAATTAGATTGGTCAAAGTTGAATCCAGTGATTGTGAAGTTTGGAACAGAAAAGAGGAAGCATGTTTGGAGCAATTTTCAATGAGTTTCAAATTCATTGCTGCTTCATGTATAATCAATTTATAATTTATCCTTAGCCATGACAGTTTAGTAGAACCTCAATGAACCTTTCCACTATACATCTACGTTCCAGAGACTGGAGAAGCAGGGAAGGGCTGCTACATTTTTTGGTGTGTCTTTAAAGATCCCAGAGGCTTAGAGTGGCCGCCATTGGGAACAAGGCAATAAGGCAGCAGAGTTGCTGCTACGTTGTATAGCCTAAACCTAGAATAGTGATACACCTTTTTTTTCTCTTTCTTACCCCTTTTCTTTTCTCTTTCTTATCCTTTTCTCCCTTACTCCTTTTACAAATATGCTAAACATAAAACCCAGACGTGGAGATATAACACAACCTTCCCCAATCTGGTACCCTCCAGAGCTATTGGGAAGCTATTAGTATGACAATTTTTAAAGCTGTAGTCTCCAAATATGCTAGGATACTAACTGTTCTATGGCAAAGGATAACGTGTAAAAGAAGATTTAAATGCGCACTCTTGAAGTTAGATGTATCTGAAATGATCACGTATCGTTTGTACATTAATCCACAGATGATGGAATAAGTGTAGTTTATCTGAAATACCTGTATTTTCAGTTCTGTAAATGGTTCTAGTAGCATGTTTTGGGATGTAAATTTCAGATTGTTTTTGTATGCTCTCCTGTTTTCTTTTTTCATTTTGTACTCCCCCCACAGAAAGAATCCAAAATGATGCATGTGCTTTCACAATGCTTGGTTATTTGAATGAATATCTTCAGCTGAAAAAACAGGCAGCAGATACATATCAAAGGTAACCTTCTTAAATACACATTTTGAAGTATCAATGGCAACTTCAGTGTTTTCCCCAGTAAATACAACATACACACCAGAAGTATATTAAAATAATCTTTATTGGTCTTACCTTATAGCAATGTAAAGCCATCTGAACTGCAGAATTCCACATACTTCAAGAGTCTCCATGCTTTTTTATATGTCACTGAAAGATGTTTTAGATGTTAAAAAATTCAGTTAAGGAGTTGAAAGGCAGTGCAGATCATGTTCAGTTGCTTCTGCTTGGCAAAAATAATATAGTTAAGATTAAATGCTTTTTCCTATTGCATTAATGAGCTGTAGCTACCCATGCCCACTACCTGCATTAAATTCTGTCTTGAAAGTTAGGAAGTAATGAAAATAGAAAAAGATTAAAATAACAATAGTTGTTAGCAAAACTTCATGTGACTTCTACTGTCCCAAGCATAAGTTTTTAAACACTTCACAAATGGCTCTTGCTTTTGTTCAGTCTCCCAGAATGATTTTGTAAGTAAAGTAAAGAAAAGTAATAAGTTATAAAATTTACAAAGAAATAGAAAAAAGAAAATAAAAAGTTATAGAGAAGCAGCTTCTGGTCTTCTCACAGCAGTTACAAATATTACCCTCTCTAAGGCGGGGCTTTTCAACCAGTGGTACGCATATCACCTGTGGTACTTTGGCACCTGGCAGGTGGTACGCAACCATTCTAAACAAGTGTAGTGGGGGAGGGGAATGAGCTGAAGCAGCGGCAGCACTGCACAAGCCTGAGAGAGAGACAGCTGGAGCTGCAGGGCTGTCAGGCTTGGCAGAAGCCCAGGATCGACGCGCACAGCTATATCTGATCGATGCTTCTGCAGGGCTTTGGGGGGCAAGACAAAAGCCCCAGGATCAGTGCGGGTAGCTACAGCTGATCGGGGCTGTTGCAGGGCTATGGTGGTGAGATAGAAGCCCCAGGATCGGTGCATGCTTCTGCAGGGCTGTGGGGGCAAGACAGAAGCCCCAGGATCGGTGTACACTTATGGAGGCTTATGGAGGCTGGGTAGAAGCCCAGGATTGGCGCGCACTTCTGCAGGCCTATGGAGGCGAGACAGAAGCCCCAGGATCGGTGCTTCAGCGCACCCAGAAGAGAAGAGGAGGGGGGGGGAGAGAGAGAGGGGCTATAAAAGGAGAAGGTTTTGGCGGAAGAGGGAGAGAAAAAAAAGACAACTGGGAAAAGAGAAGGGGACTGCAAAAGAGAGACGGAGAAGCGCAGCCTTGAGAGGAATCAGCTCGAGGTGCACGGAGGAGAAACGGAGGGTGGGGGAGAGAAGAGAGGATATAAAATAAGGGAAGAGAAAAGAGGATATAAAAGAAGAGGGGAGGATATAAAAGAAGGGGGAGAGAAGAGGATATAAAAGGGAAGAGAAGATATAAAAGAAGGGGAGAGAAGAGAGGATATAAGAAGGGGGAAGAGGAGAGGATATAAAAGTGAAGAGAAAGGATATAAAAGAAGGAGGGGAGGGAAAGGATATAAAAGAAGCGGGGGAGAGAAGATATAAAAGAAGGGAAAAGAAGAGGATATAAAAAGGGAAGAGAAGATATAAAAGCAGCAGGGAAGAGAAGATAGGATATAAAAGGAGAGAAGAAAGGATATAAAGGAAAGAAAGGATATAAAAGGGTGGAGAGAAGAGGATATAGAAGGTTGGGGGAGAGAAGAGGATATAAAACGAGTGAATCTGGTTTCTCCATTGACTTTGTTGCAAAAGGGGATCACATGATCCTGGGACACTGTGATCATCATAAATATGAATCAGTTGCCAAGCATCCAAATGTAGATTGACCCTGGAGATGCTGCAACTGTCATAAGTGTGAAAAATGGTCATAAGACACTTTTTTCAGTCCCGTTGTAATTTTGAACAGTCACTAAGCGAACTGTTGTAAGTTGAGGACTATCTGTACTTTATCACTTTTCCCCCCTTTTTTTGGTCATCAAGTGGTACTTGAATATTGCCATATCCTAAAAGTGGTACAATCTGTGAAAAGGTTGAAAAGCCCTGCTCTAAGGTTCCACACAATTTCCTTCTTTCTATAGTCTATCCTTTCTAATTATCAAACCCATACATCACAACTTCATTTTTTCTATTTTCAGCAAACATGTCAATTTGGAGTTTCCAGTGACTAATAAATGTATTTATTGTCTTTTGCCATTCAAACAAATCAATTTGCCATCTTTGCTAATTCTGTCATCTTCACCAGCCATTTGTCCATTATGAATATTTCAGAGTCTTTCCATTTTTGTGCATATAATCATTTAGCAGCAGCTATATATAAAAGCAACCTTTCATAACTCTTTTCTAATTGTCTACCCATTAGTCCCAACAAGAAGAATTCTTGTTTCAATTGAATATTAATCTTTAAAGTTCTTTGTATCATAATATGTATTTGAACTCAAAATTTTCTGGCTTTTTTTTACAAGTCCACCAGGCATTATAAAATGACCCATCATATTTTCCACATTTCCAACATACATTTGAAGTACCTTCATACAATCTAGTTAATTTTTCTGAAGTTCTGTACCAACAATTCATTGTTTTTTAACTTACAACGTAATACAAATTTCAGTCTTTTCAGCCATTTTAGATTAAATGTTTCAGCCACATGCTCTCCCATTGCTCCACACTATAGCAATAGCATTTGGACTTATATATCTGCCCCATAGTACTTTACAGCACTCTCCAGACGGTTTACAATGTAAACATTATTTGCATAGTGCTCCCAACAATCATATATTCCATATATTCCACATTCTATATTTTAGCCTGTCTTATCATGCTCTTTTACTTATTATTTTTCCATTTCAAATTTCAACAAAAGATTATACATTTTGGCAATTACATGCTCATCATTTGTACATACAGAGAGTCTACTTATAAACGGATTATGTTCTGAGAGATTTTAAATTTGTTTTGTTTGCAAATCTAACAAGCAAAAAAGACATGCACAGTACAGTTCTTATCTTACGTAAGTGGCAGTAAAGGAAGTCAGGAGAAGGTGTGAAAGGGTTAGTTTTCGGTGGCACTATATAAGTATGCAGCATATTGGGAACTAACCCTTTTTAACCTTATCTCAGCTTCTGGGATCTTCTAGGTTGAAATTTGTTTATATAGTGGTACCTTGGTACCCCACTGCTTTGAAGCTCATTGAATTTGGTACTCAACACATTTTGACCCAAATATTTTGTCCTGGTACTCATCGTTTGTTTGGTACTCAATGTGCAAGCTAGAACTTGTCGATGTTGGCTGCTTTGTGATTCACTATATTATTCCTTTTGAGAAAAAATTGTTTGATACTAATTGTTTTTGGTATTTGTTGTGTCTCTTGGAACCAATTAACAATAAGTATTGAGGTACCACTGTATTGGTAAAAGTTGCAACTTGAAAGTTTGCAAGTAGAGTAATATATATTTGGTTGCAGATTCTTTCTTGTGCTGTTCAATTCCAAATTCCTGTTATCTATCTTAAATCTTTCTCTTAACTATGCATATGTAAACAGTTCAAAACTAAATCCCTCTGTAGTCAGTTAATATCTTTGATTTGATTTTATATTCTCCATGCTCTTGTTAAAACAACTCTTTAATAGGCTAACCATCTTTCTTTGCCTGCTATTTCTTTTCAATAAAATGTATCTTGTACCAAAACACATAAAGGCATTTTTGGGCACAATCTGGGATTATATTTATTCCATATTCTTAATATAGCACTTCTAATATAATGATTTTTAAAAGCTACATTAGTTTTTACTTTATTGTATCATAGAAAGCCATGCCATCTAAACCTTAGGTCATACTTTTCTAGTTCTAAAATTCTATTTCTTCTCTTCGTTAATCCTTTTGGTGAGACTTGTATACCTAAAATTGACTTTAGCAAATACAATGATAAAGATAAAGCTCTGGACACAAAATCTGAATAGTGTCTCTCTGTAATCAAAATATTGACTTTTTAACTTCTCAAGCATTTCATAGGAAAGCTACTGACATTTATTTATGATACTTTTTTCAGAGCAGTCCTATTGCTGACAAATTCTGATGATAGAGAAAGATATAATATAGTGATGAGAAATTATGGAAGATCACTCTGGTAAGTTGAAAAATATTATTATTTTTATCAAATTAAGATTCTCAGTTCTAGAAAGCATATAGTAAATGAAAACCATGTCTCTTAAACTACTGGAAAATCAACTTAGGAGCTTCCAGTCATTCTTTTGCAAACCCAGAACCTCCTGAAATCATGTCACAAAAATTTGGCAGCAAATTTTCTTTTCTTTTTTCTTTTTGGTCTAAATATGAAGTAAAACAGGAACTCTCATTTTACTGAAACAGAAAAAAAGGCCACCAAATTAGAAAAGAGATATTTAAAATTACACCCACTCACTTGCTAATGATAATAGCACTTATGCTATGTCCCTTGTAAATGTTGATGACTCAAGGCACAAATCCCCTACTTAGGTAATCAGTTCCTATAATATGTAATGGAGAAACAATTCAGATTCAAACACATTGAGATGTACAGGTCAAACTCAGTCTGTTAAATTTTATCATTGGATATATTTATAGCCAAACAGTTCAATTCTGAACCTAGGTTTTATATCATTCGCCACATTATTACATGCATTTTCACCATTCCTCTAAAGTAGTACCATTGCAAAATTGTGAAATTATCAAGCACTATTCACTAGGGGAAAATTTCACCCAACAAATTTTGAATTTTAGTCTGAATTTATGTGTGTGATTAATTTTTTTTCTAATTGGACTTAGTTCTGTTTCTTTTTAAAAGTGCTCTTGGCCGTTGTGATGATGCCATCCAAGCTTATTTGGCAACTCATCTGATAGAATTTGATGATATTGTAGGAATTGCTCTGTCTTACTTCAAGAAAGGACATTTCCATGAAAGTCAGAAGGGTAAGTGTTTCTCTTGTACAGTATCTCCTCTGAAGAATCTGTGTGAAAAATCACTATTTAGATTTTGTGATGACTTGGTAAAGTATTAAGATCACAAGCACTTAATCCCCAGAAAGAATAATCGTAGATAGATTTCATCAAATCTTCCTGCAAAGTGCAGCTTAGTCAGAAATTATTAACAATGTGAGTTACTTCTGAAGCTTTGCCCAAATTAAATTTGTTTCTTAGGCCTGAGATGCAGTTTGGTTCCATGCTTGTTTATTGTGCTGACATAGATTGTTGAACTGGGGGTCTATAAACTCTAATAGGCCTTAATTTCTATCAGTGGCAATTCTTAACCTACCTGTTTCAAAATCAGAAGCAATAATGCACAGATAGCCCTTGACTTACAGCCATTCTTTCAGTGACTGTTCATAATTATAATGGTACTCAAATGTACTTACAACCCTTGCCTGAAGTTATAGCCATTGCAGCACCCTGCAGCCACATGATCAAAATTCAGGAGTAGCCTGCCCCCACTTATGAGCACAGGCGCACTGTTTGCATGTGTGTATGTGTGTCTATACATCCCCTTCCTTCTGGAGAAGTATTTGATGAAATTTGCTGCTTCCCATTGTTTTGAATTTCTTTTTTTATTCCTAGCTTATGAGAAAGCACTTGCAATTGCAGAGTCTGAGCAAGATAAAGCATATATATTAACAGCCCTCGCAATAATAGAATACAAACAAAATCGAGTGGATGCTGCAAAGACCCTCTTATTTAAATGGTAAGGAGTAAGTACAGCCGTATCACTCTAAACCTATTAAAGTACTTTAGAGTCATCCTAATCCCTCTTAATAAGCTTAGAGAACTGTAGGCAAAATGGGATCCTTACTGACTTGAAGGAATCCCAGGATGTGCAGAAACCTCTTTAAAAAAAGAAAGATAAAACAGGAAATGTCTCCTCTCAGGAATTGCACAATGCAGTCACAAAATCTAAATTTATAGCTTGGTTGGGGGGGGAGGGAAATTTGGCATGCTTTGAAGAAGAAACCTCGTTTACAAGGGTTGCAGTTACATTCCTTCATGTTGCACGTGCTCTGTTTAATAGCAGACTCACTGGTGGTGAGTGCCTAGAAACGTGAGAACACGTCATAATAAGGTGCAGAGTTGGAAGATAATCCTCAGTTATACAGAGGTACAGAAGTTTGTGAGTTTAGATAGAAGGAAATCCAAATTGGACTGATGTGGGATATTTTAAGGATAGGGTCAAAATATATCTGCCTGACTTTTTGGTCCTTTAGGGTTTAATTCATAGTTGAGTATAGCTGAGAATGAAATATGTATGAGTTGGTTACAGCACCTGCCTTTTCTTCCACAACTCCAGTGACACAACAGCATGATCAGATTTCTTTTCAAGGCTGACGGGATCATGAATAAAATCAAGCTTTGGGCTGAGACATATTGTACCAATTTGTTCCCTATTACCATCTTTTTCATGAGGTTAATTTGGATGTATGATGCTTGTTCTAAATGTAGAACAAGCTTCCCCCCCCCCGAGCATTTGGCAATGCTTCATAAGCATAAAAGTTTTCAGGTATAAGATAGCATTTAGAATTGTAAATATTGTGCCGAGTCTGCAACAGACTCTTCATATTATACTTTAAGGCGATACTCCTTAGAGTAATACATTTTCTGTGTTGCATTTACAGTTCTATATTACAGGAGCCTAATATGGAAAGCCTGCAAGCCTTGTGTAGTTTAGGGCTGATCAAGCAGGATGCTACACTTGCAACAGCAGCACTTAAAGAACTGTTAAAGCACACGGGGAAAAAAGAGAATGTTTATAAGAGGTTCCTTCTTGCATCTGCTGTCTATGCATTACAAGGCAGACATCTGGCTGTTCAAAGACAAGTTTCTAAAGCTGTCCACAGGTATGTAATTCATTTTGTAAAGCAAGCAATGTTACTTTTCCATATCACCCATTCCACAAAGAAAGGTGCTATGTTCAAATCCTCTGAGTGTCATGGTTCCGATAGATGAGACCAACTAAAACAGAACTCAGAGAGAGGCTTGAGGTTTCCTTTAAGAGCATGTTTATTGGCTACAAAGTATCGGCACTTTCAAAAATAAAACCAAGACTAAAGTTTCCTCCAAAAAGTTACAGTATACAAAGTTAAACTTCCCACCCCATTACTATGCAATCAACTAAGTTTCCCAATAGATTAGTTTGGCAGGCATTCTAACAGAAACTTCAGCCTGACAGTCTAACGAACAGAAATGGCCTTGGTTCCCACAGGGCAGAGAATTGTTTAGGCTAGCAGAAAATCCACCATCCCCCTCCCATTCTGGTGGCAACCGAAAACGAGCCAAATGGCTTCACTCAGATTCGTCACAGAGTTGACACTGAGTTTTACTTGCAAAAGCTGTCCTGTGGGTTTCATAGTTGAACTGCGGTAATGTAGAGGTTTGCAGTTTTGAGATATCTTTAGAATGAAAGTAGATGTAATTAGATAACTACTCTCCCCCTCTAATGTTAAATAGGATTTTTATCCAGCTAATATGAAGTATTTTTCATACTGATTCTATGATGTATGGGAAACTATGAACTTTCTCAATTTATATAAGGTAAGACAGCTATATTGACTTAAAATGAAAGTCAGGATATTTGACTGAACATTGCCTGCTGATACTTCTCTTTAAGTGATTTATGTTAAATGTAATAATATTTCCAGGTACTCCTTTAAGTTATGATGGCAATTGGGGCTGGAATTTCCATCACTAAACAATGTGGTTGTAAAGTATGAGGTCATGTAACCATTACTTAGCAATGGCAATCCTGGCTGTTATCATAACTCCACTAAGTAAGGAACTAAGTAAGCAGGAAGAGGTGGAAGTATCAGGCAAGCAGGTTGGTGGGTGAGAGGTACAGGTGGGTATAGCAAGTGGGCATTATGGATTATGGGTGGATACTACAAAGTATGGGTGACCAAGCAGGTACTGTGAGTAGGTGGTGCTGCAGGTGGGCACTACAAAGTGAAAGTGGGTACGTGACCTCTTGCCCATTGATTTTGTGGGAAACTGACAGGGAAGGTTGCAGCAAATGGTGACCATGTGATCTTGGGGTGCTGCAACTGTCGTTATTGCAAGCCACTTTCCAACCCCCTGAATCACGAACACAGAATAGTGACAATGCTTCAGTGACTGCAATTTTGTGAGTCCTTTTATTCAGTGCCATCATAACTTTGCCCTGAATCAGTGGGTATAACCTGAGAATTGCATGTAAATGAATTTAGAAGCAACTGATTTGTCGTATCAATTATTATATTGAATTAAATTACTGATAATATAGGTGCAAAGTTCAAAATTGGGAGGCTCACCAGTATCTAACAGATTTTTATAGCCAAACTAAACACCCAACTGGATATAGATTTTTATGGACCCATTGTGCATCATTAATGATATTAGATATTAATGACTATCAGTTTTCAGATTAGCAAAGGTTACTTGCTCCACATTATTTTAACAAAATATAGAATCTAGTTCAAATTGAACCATGGAGAGTTTAAAAATGCACTTCATCTATCAATATTATTTTGAAATTTAAATCTATTTAACCCATTTATTGTTTTTTCAGTTGGTTCTATTTTCATCAAAAATCCCTTGAAATATACTACTTTACTGTATTAAAAGGACTATAAACATACGTTAGAAGCTGCTATATTAGAAACAGTTATACAGAAAGTATGTTTCATAATTTCAGTCTATGTTGATAGATTCTACTTATAGAAAATTGTGATTTTAATTCTGCCATCTCTTACCTAAGCAACCCAGATAATTCTGCCCTCTGGTCCCTGCTGTCAAGACTGGTCCCTCGGTACGTGCCACAAAATGCCAAGGTAAATATATGCATAGATGAGAGTGCAGTACATACATGCTGAATTACAGATTTATTAAATGAGCACATGGTACTAAAAGGAGTTTTCAAAATTAGCATCAACATTATAGTTTAATCATTTTGACAAGCAAATCTTCAACATGTTCTACTTGTCAATTGTCACATTGTTTTTTAAACATAAGAGTCATTCATGTAAGATAGATAACATAGCAGCTTGCTTAGTTGTACCATTTTGTTCACACACATAGACACTAGTCATTATTACTACCTGCCAAGTGGGAAGGTTCTCTGAAAAGAAATAGAGGAAGATAGGCTGACAACCATCTCAGAAGACTGCACTGTGAGGGCTTTTCTTAGCTTTCCACAGATTCATCACCATCAGCTGCCCTGTACAAAGAATCCTACCAGCTGTCCTGCAGGATTTTTTTTTTCTTTTGCAGTAATATTTATTGCATTTTTATTTACAATATTTTATATTGCTTCTAAGCTGCTTTTAGGGGACATATATCCTGAAAGATGGGTAAAAGCAGATGTAATAAGTAAATATCATGAGCCAAACTAACAATGACAATGGATCCTTCCACAATTATGTGAGGAACGTTAATGAGAAAAGATTGAGATCTCTAATGAAAATGCTAGTATCTGGCATTGCTTTTACACACACACTCAAAAGTTCTCCTCAGCTAAAATGCATGTATGCTGATTCATGGAACTCTTTAGTAAATAGCAGATGTGCTGATGGAAAAGGTGATTTATAGTAGTACTATAATAGGGAATAATTGTTATTTTGAAAAGCATGTTCTCTTCTATTTGTGGTGGCAATTACTATCCTCTACAAGTATTGCTTGCTGGCCTAATGTAGTTTTGAATTTTTCCTGGTATGTATGTGCATTATGTAGTTCCTGCAAAATTTATTTTGTCTTCACCATTTTCTTAACAGCTAAAGTGAAATAATGAACTGTTCTCATAGACCAGGGCTGTCAAACTGCCAGCCCGCGGGCTGGATGCGTCACGCTGAAACCATGCCCACCCCATTGCTGGCAATGGAAAAAAAGTTGCAATACGTCGCGACACATCACGTGACGTTGCGAGTTTGACATTCCTGTCATAGACAAATAGATGTTAATTCAGCTGTTAAGTACAGGCCCCTTTCAAACACCGACCCATTCACTCTCCTCCCCAAACCATCAGGAATAGGTTTCTTTTCCTTCCTTAAAAAAAACCCTGGTTTTTTTCCAATGGCTAATGGGCAAACACCAATGGCTAATGGCTAATGAGCAAGTACCAAATGGGCAAGTGCTAATGGCTAATAGGCAAGCACCAAAAATGGTAGGTACCTGTTGCTCTTTTCTTGTTCTTCATTGCTAGTTTTGCTTTATGTGGTGAAGAAAAATGTAAACAACCACCTCCCATGAGCTACTGCACAAAGCCATTCAGGAGAGGAAAACAGGAGATTCCACCAATGAGAAAAAATTTCAACCAGCTGGAAATCACCTGCTGTATAACTATGGATAATGTTAACTTCATCATCTATGAAATCACTGAAGATACAAAATCCACCAGAACTCCCATGGAGTCATGGCGATTGGCGGGTGGGATGCAGTTTTGCCTCTTAAGAGATCTTGGTTCTTCCTCAGTCCCAATGCTTTAATTTCAGATTTATCTCATGTTAACAAACATGTACAAAGGAAAGGATAAAAGAGCCAATTGACATATCATGGCTTCATTTTGTTAGAATATCTAAATCTGTATATTTGACCATTTTTGCCAAATGCAGCAGAATTATTCTATGTACAGTTAGTTTTGTAATATTCTGAAATATTCTAATCAATGTTTACTCTTACAGGGTGGAGCTGTGGCAGGAAGTATTGCTTGTATTCTTGATCTAAATCATGGGAAGGTTAGTGTTTTTGATATTGAAAATATGATTACTTTGGAGCAATACTTTCTATTTAAGAAAGTCAAAATATGCATTTGCTATGTATTCTTTTGTTCAGAAAGCCTTGCTGAATACCACAGTTAATCAACTGGCCACAGGATGTCACAAAGCTGAAAACAAAAAGAATATTCTAAAAGCAATTCATCTTTCTCCAGGTGATACTTATATTTAAATCTAGAGCTAATAATTCTTACTCTTAAATTTGAACCTAATCCAGGGTCTTTTCCAGAATATATTTTAACAAGTGATTGACAGATTTAAGACAAAAAGGACAAGTTACATACTAATTTATTTCTTTATTGATTATATTTATATTCATATTTTCTCTAGCAGCTCATAACAGCAGATGTGGTATATGTTTTCCAGTTTTATTCTCACAGTAATCCTGTGCAGCATGTTGCATTATGAGATAATGACTGCCAGAAGTCACCTAGTGCACTTTGTGACTGAATGAGATCATTTGCCTGGATTTCTCCAGTCCTAGTTCAGCAGTCTAAGCACTAAGGACCTAAACAATAATAAGCATCTAAGAACAGAGTTTTTTATAAGACTCAGGCCTTCAAGGTGTAGTGATTTGTTAATTGTCGACTTTAAGTTTTATGGTTTGTGTATACCCACTTGTTTAATTATGCAACAGTTTGGTGGTATAATTTGAAAATGACCTCTTCCTTGTATTTGTATCTTTTCAGATGATCCTACAGCTTGGGCAGTACTCTTGGCTGCTTGCCATGCAGAAAACACAACTGTTCATCTGCATAATAAGCAACCCAAGCAGACACATCTGGAAAAAATGATTGTCGGTGCAATCTCAGCTAAGAGTAAGGCTGCTTTTGTTCTTAAAAACAACTGTTCTTACTGCTGTTTTTAACTGAAATGATCATTAATGAAAATATTGATATACTGTGTTGCAGTGTAGATAGATAGAAAAAAATGTTCTTCAAGGATGATTATAGAAATTGTGCAAAACCTAGAGACTAGATGTGTAAGTCTCTTAAACAACCATGGCAAACATTGTGGGAAAAGAAGCTGTATAATTTGGTTGACATGCCAGAGAAGGTCTGGCAGTAGAGTGTCAGAAGGTTGACATCCGTACATTGTATATTAAGGATCTGTCTAGTCTCAGGTTTTTTGACTAGTGAGGAAGACTATCTGACTTAGGGCCTTCTAGCTCTCACATGAGGTGGGTGCCAGCTTACCGTTACAATGCTGCAGCATCTCACAGTCCCATGATCGTCATTTGTGACCTCCTTTCCCAGCTTCCTACAAGCTGGGTGAATGGAGAAGCTGGCAGAAGTTTGTAAATAGCAATCACATGATGTTGCACTTAACAATGACATAGGATTCACATTAAGTGAAGTGCTGGAATTTACATCACTAAGTGGCATGGTCACATTTTATGACTGCATTGCTTAGTGACAGAAATTCTAATCCCAATTACCATTGCTAACCAAAAACTGTACTTTCCTTTATTCAAAAATCTTGCAAATACAAAACTCCCAAAACAGTGGTGGCGAACCTATGGCATGCGTGCCGGAGGCGGCACTCAGTGCCCTCTCTGTGGGCAGGCGCACTGTCGCCCCAGCCCCGCCTCCCCCACGCCCCCCTCACCAGCAGCCTCCCCAGAGGAGAGTCGACACCCGGCGCAGCACACACAGAGCAGCGCAGCCAAGCACATGGCAGCCGGGCAAAGACTCCGCCCTCGCACCCCATCGCACGCAGATGATACTGTTGGGCATGGGTGGAGGGCGTGACCGCCATGGTGCTGCAGGGCCGCCTGGCGATCTGCAGCAGGCCATGGAGGTGGTGGGTGGCCCTGCAGGTGGGTAGGGGCGGCAGAAGGGGCGGAGCAGGGGTGGGGTGGTTTTTGGGCACTTGGTCTCTAAAAGGTTCGCCATCACTGTCCTATAACAAATGGCATTCTAACTAGACCCTTTCCATAGGTCACAAAAACATTTATCTTACAGTGAAAGAAACAGATTAGTTACATAGTGAAAATGTACGAGTTTAATTCATCCAGTGGTGATCCATTTTTCCTGATGATCAAGTATGTCAGTGGCTCATGTAACAAATTAAATGCCTACATCCTGTTAATTATTTTGGGAAATAATAAGTTTACTGTTACAAATTAGAAATTTTGCTCCCTTGTAGTACTATCATAAAGGCAGACTTTAATTTCTTCCCACTATTGATTGTAGCAGAAAAATGCTTGAATCCAAAGGTTCCTGGAAAGTTGGAATCTGAGGAGTAGAAGATAGTGTAAAGCCAAAATCTTCTCTCACCATGCTAAATATTTTACAGTTTGAAATATAGTTATATATTTTTAAAATGTGGATTGCTTTAATATCAAAACAATTATTGTTACTGATATCAGAATAGCATACTTTTTGTTATAAAGACTGGGGATTAATACATGGGATATTATGAAATAATGAACTTCATATGCTTTGTAGCTAAAGAAAAAGATCTTCCAGCTTCCAGAGCTCAGGAAATCGAAGAGTGGTCTCTTTTCCAAGCTATTACTGGCTTAAATGAGGCAGGTAGAACTTCAGAAGCTGAGGCTCTCTGCGAAAAGGTATGATTAATGTTAAGATGACTTGTGCTATGATTGTTCAATTTTAGATAAGGTTACTCAAAAAGCCTGATCCAGAGGGTTAAAAATTACTGCAGATATTGTCCATATTCTCAGAATATCTCAGTGAAACCATACGAAAAGAAATGGTAAATATGCAGCAGTGTCATTACTGGTTTTGCTTACAGTGGAAAGGCTGAGATTCACTTTAGACTTGTTTGTAAATATTGAAATATTTTGCCTTTAGTTTACTATTGTTCTGCATTCTTGCCTCTTCTCACTAGCTCATTTGGTTCCTTATGGGATTATTGTAAATTAAAGCGCAGGTGACACGTTTAATGAGATGCAATTGCCTCTAATACATTTTATTATATGAGGGTGAAGGTTTGTTCTCCAAGCTTGAGGGTTGGTTTCCGAACGTTTCGTTACTAGGCTAGGTAACACCTTCAGCAGTGTTTAGTGTCTATTGCAAACATTTTATTATATTTATAATATGTTCAATACGTTACCCAAGTTCTTTTGGTGGATTACAAGTACTTCAAAGCATGAACACAATTTTAAAAATACCCAAACAAAGCTGACAGCATAAATAAATAGCACAAAAAATGAAAAAAAAATACAATTTAAAAAATATCAGAAGTTAATTGAATTGCAATTATTCATGCATCAATTGCCAGTAAAACTTGTTTGAAGTTATAGCTTCGCTACATGAAACACGGAACCAACATAGCTGCTCGATCAAAATGTGCTGGGAATCTTATTTTAAGCATCATGAAAATATTTTGATTTCACCAAATCAAAGTATAGAATCAATGGTTTATCTCCCCTCTTTTTGCTCACTGATAACTGAAATAGCTGGATTCCTTGACTTATTGAAATTGTGTTGCTAGAATAACAGCTCTGCTTTTTTGTGAAGTGGTTTTAATTATTTTCTATGGAACTAAAATCATTTTTTGCCTCTAGGGATTAAAAGAATTTCCTGAGCAGCCAATGTGGTACCTTCTCTTAAGACAAGTTCAATGCAAACCACTTTTGCAGTCTCACAAAGAGCTTCCTGATGCCATCTTGGAAGAGCTCCGAAAGGCAGTTCTCTCCAACTCCACATTGATTACAGCTTGGCATGTAAGTTTGTCTACATTTATCCATGATTGGGTTCTCTGTATTATATTCACAGTATGGGGACTTCTTCATCTAGTACTATGAATAAGTAGTCTTTCTGCCCTCTCTCGAAAGCCTGCTGAAAATTGGAAAATAATATGTTGTGTGGACAGAGTAGACTTTAGAGATACCACCTCAGACTATAGCATATACACCTTGCTGTCAGTTTGGTTGAACATCCTTACATTTGAATCCAAACCAGTGTGGTCAAATTAGGAATTGGAAGATCGTAGATAAGCACAGTTTTCAACATAGATTTTTTTCAGCAGGCATGTCTACCCATGTTGGAAATGTATTTCTCTGAGCATTGCAGTCAAGTGTTATAATCAAAAGCTGCTGGTCTGCGCATTTTGCCAGTGTAGCAAATTTTAAAATCCGACTGCTTAGTTGCCCTGTTGCTTTTAGCATCAAGACGCTAAAGTCAATAGAGGTTGCCCATAAATACTGTCAATAATTCTTAATCTTGCATCAGCACATTGGTAGTTGGTGGCTTCTCCAGATGATTTTTAGAATCCAAGTAGTCTTTGCATAGTTGTCTTTAATGCCATTCTTCTGCACTTAAATGTACTTGATGTTTTGCCCAGAAAATAGGGCTCTTTCATTACTGGAAGCAAAAAATGTTTTGACATCATGTCCAAGAAATAAAAGAACAAAGAATAAGCTAGGCAATGAATTGTTGTCTCAGTATTTCTGGATGATACAAATTTTGGAAAATAAATTAGTGTTTATTTTCTAAAACTAATTTTATTAAGAATTATATTAAGCAGATAAAACTACCAGAAACTTAATATAGGAATATTTTTTTGTCTTTGTATATATAAAGACAAAGTGTGGAAAAAAGGAAACAAAAGAAATCATCCCCAAAAGAGAAAGTAGGAAAAAGAACATTTATCCTTCATCCCCAGCAAACATAGTCAATATTGACATTATATTGTTATCTCTTAAATAACAAGATACATCTTCATTTCATAGCCTATTTTCTAGAAATGCATCTCTACATTTTGAACTGTTATTGATCAACAAAGGTTTAGTAGAATTAACAAAAATTTCCAATGACATAAGTACAGTATATAATCCCTCTTTCCATTTAGTCTAAATCCCCTTTGTACCTCTCTTAATAATTAAACATTTCAAAATAATGACAATATCCCTAGTTGTGAGGGAGGGACTTGTGATGCTCTAATGAGGTGGAGAGCTATGTTGGCAGTAGTGTATTCTACCAGAAGGGTTACCCATGCCAGACACCAGATCAATTATTTCTTGGATCAACAAGAAGTACAATAGATACTAGAGTTCCTGGGCACCTGGCGACATGGGCAATGGGACTCTGGAGTGGTAGCTGGGGAACCATGGCTTAGCCCTGTAGGAATTGTCGAAGAACTATAACCAAAGAGAGAATAAAAGTTAACTGTATTCGAAAATTGCATCATTATGGCCTGCTAATTATAAATCAGAACCAGTAAGTGGACATACTTAAAATGAATGTTTGAACAGTGGAAAATTATTTATCCAGACTCAAATACAAAATTATATTATAGAAACACTATCAAAGCCATCAATATGTGACTACATATGTACAATACATTGCTTGAATTATTAACCGGACCCAAGTGGAACTGGACAATTTGAAACCCCCCCCCCAAAAAAAGTTGATGACTGTTCACTATGTGTTACATTCCCATCACGGAAGTGTCTTCGGACAACGCTGGCTCCCTTGGCTAGGAAATGGAAATGAGCACTGCCCCCCACAGTCGGACATGACTGGACAGGGGAAACATTTACCTTTTTTAAAAAATCTGCTCGGCAGAAATGGAGGCAGAGGTTCACTTCAAGTCAAACTATTGAAGAAGAAAAGTATGCATTGGCTGATTACATAAAAGGCAGCCAAGAACAAGAATTGATGCAAGTTAAAACTTGGAACTTACTGAATGTGCAGGAAACAAATAAGAGTATAGAAATAATTAATAAAAACAAGAACAGAATGTTGGAAAGGAAAAGCATTACATGGCCAATTTCTACAAACTATCAGAGGAGAAAGTGGAATTGGAACATTAAAGAAAGAAACTGAAGACTTGATTTTGGCTGCTCAAGAGCAAGCTAATCAAACTAATGCAATCAAGGCCAGAATTGAAAAATTTTCAGATGATTCAAAGTGCAGATTGTGCAAAGAAGCAAAAGAAAGAAAAGCAACTCACATACTCAGCTCATGCAAGAAAGTTACACAAACTGATCCTGAACAATGACATAAGACAGTCACCAAAATAATTCACTGGAACATCTGTAAAAATTAACATGTGCCAGTAATGAACAATTGGTGGGGACATAAAGTTGAAAACATAGTTGAAAATAAGCGGGTTAAAATATTCTGGGATTTCTGATTACAGACTGATAAAGTCTTGGCCCATAACAACAACAGATTTAACAGTGGTTGGAAAGAAGAAAGTGTAGATAATTGATGTGCCAATACTTGAGGACACTAGAATAAAAGACAGAGAATTGGAGAAGATCACAAAGTAAAATCGAAATCTAAAGATTATGGCATAAATTGGCTGTGGTGGTCCCAGTGGTTATTGGATGGCACTTAGAAAATCTGCATATTGACAAAATTTTCATCTGCCTTTATAATGGATGGATGGATCTGTACACATACTATGCTGTAACATTATGACATCCTAGGTTCTTGGGAAGAAGTTGATGAATATGAAGCCTACACTAGCTAAATAACTGGCAGCTGTGATTTCACATTTTTGTGTATATAATAATAAAAAATAAAAGAACTGGGGGGACCAGAAAATAAACAAAGTAATAAAAAATGAAGAAGTTAAGGTGCTCTGGGATTTTGCAGTTGAAATAAGCATCTGCTATATACCGCATTTCCTCCCAAATAAGATCTGGTCCTATGTATTTATTTATTTTCCTCCCAAAGAGGTACCAGGTCTTATTTATTGGGGGGGTCTTTTCTACTCACCTCGTGGCAGCGGCACCAACAGCCCTGCCCAGCCAACCCACTTCTGCGGCCAAAGGAGCAGCTTCATTCTGCAACTGAGAATGGAGCTCAGGCTTGCATTTTGCCTTCAAAGACCTTTCTGGAAGTCCTGTGCAGCTGAGAGCCGAACTACGGATTGAATCCATAGCTCAGTTCTCAGCTGCACAGGCTTTCTGGAAAGGCCTCTGACTGGAATGCAGGCCCGAGCTCCATTCTCAGGTACAGAATGAAATTGCTCCTTCGGCCACGGAAGAAGTGGGCAGGCGAGGCAAGTGTCGATCCATGGGAGGTCTGGCTGCAATGGTAAGCTCCACACCCCTGCCCTAGCTTGGTTTTTAGGCATGCGCCTCACCCCAAAACTAGGGCTTATTTTTGGGGTAGGACTTATATTAGGCCCATCCCCCCAAAAAAATCTAGGGCTTATTTTCAGGATAGGTCTTACTTTCAGGGAAACACGGTAACACCCACAGACTTAACAATTGTCGACAAGAAAAACAAAAAAAAGTACCTGAAGATAACAGAATAGAACAGCAAGAACTGGAGAAAATCACACAATACACTTGCAAATAGGTTAAGTAACACAACTATGTGACAGTTTTCAGGATTGCAGTGTTATATAGGCAGATAACTAATTGTGTTGTCACATTCTGGATCAACTTTATCCTCTGAATGGGCTTCAGGAACAGCTCCAAGAGGTGATTAAGATATGAATGACTGTAGGTAGGATTTCCTGATCCAGAAATGGTTACAGTTGGCATACAAGGTGGATTTGTGCAAGAGAAACAACTATAAACTTCTCTTCAAGTAAGAGCCATAATTTTAGGAGGATCCCCAATTTGTGCAGCAGGTCTTTCTGGGATTACACAACCTTTTTCAGAAGACAAAAATTCCCTGAATCCTTGTGACCCTCAAATCAATAGCAACTACTGTAAGTCTTGCAAGGGTTGAGCTTGAATCTGTTTTCCTTCATGCAGATATACACAATCTCTAGAGTATAAGTCATTAATAAATGCAATCAATGGTCTTTTAATACTGTGCCCAGATCTGAAATCTGACTGGAAGAGGTCCAGATAATCTACTTCCTCTAGAGTCCTCTGACATTGTAGGCCAGCCATCTATGTGGCAACCTTCACCAAAAAGTAGGTTGGAGATGGACTGGATATTATTCAACTCCATTTTTCTTTTTGAGGAGGGGCAAATCATTACTTCCTTAAATGCAGTTGCAACCACCTTTTCCCTCAAGGATATATTTACCACCATTTTGACTGACCCATATGTCATTTCCAGGAGGCATTGGCCAACCAGGAAGAACACATTTACAGCTGTGAGAACTCTGTTCACTTCCTTGGAGCCAATAGGCTACACCAGACATGTCAAACCCGCGACGTCACGTGATGTCGTGCAATGTATCGGGACGTTTTTGCCATTGCTGGCAATGGGATGGGCACCACTTCCGCATGACACATCCGGCCCATGGGCCGGCAGTTTGACACCCCTGGATTACACAATACCTAAGTCAATTCAACTGCACAACTCAGAGGGAATCCAAGCTACTTTATCAAACAAATGCCTCAAATATTCTTCATAGCACATATAGTTGTCTGACCCACCCCTCCCTAAGAGGAATTGGAGCAATTTAAAGCTACTGGACACAGATTTCAGAAAAGAAGAAAAATAGCTGTGTCTTGCTATTCTTGCCACCAAGATGTAACCTTTGATAAGGGCCATGTTTGCTCTTCATCTTTCAACACTTGCTTCATCTCCCAAAGATGTCAGAAGACCAGGAGACTTTCTGGAATTTATGTGCAGAGAGAAATCATACAGCTATGATCTGACCTAGGGACATTACCAACTATTATTTCAAGTGGCAACTAAGGCTTCACTTAGTTATACTTCAGTATGCATAAAGCACAAAGTTTCCCCAAATATACTTTGAAATTCTGTAACTCCATCAGGTCCCAGAATTGACCAATCAAGAGAATTCTAATTCCCTGTTATGGTACTGGGAACAGAACTTCAGAGTATTCAAAAAGTTATCCATTTATTACAAGGAACAAAGGGTATTATCTCCCAACTTTAGATCATATTTTCACTACTTTAAGATCAAAACTAGATCCATTGCAATCCTCCTGCCTCAGGAAACAAAGTGATGAATATCTTTTGTAAAATAATTAGTTGCAACACTACATGACCTAAAGAGAAACAAGAATAAAATTATAGGTGCTTAGATCCATGTTTTAAAATTAGAGATCTGTAGAAAAGTAGATATAAGATAAACATATAGCTGGGTTTGGTGTAAACTTCATTTTTGTTTAGTTTAAATTATGAAAATATTAAGGAATTTGGTTGTGCCTAACAGAAGCATAGAAATGCATAATTGAAAATTGAGCTATTCAGCACCATGGTCAGCTACTTTCAAGTCTTAATTTGAGCAGGTTCCAGCTATCCCATTTAACCATTATATTGGAGATTGATTTGGAATGCAACGCAACAATGATAACGTTTGAATGCTTATAGATGATAGTAACAAAAGCCAATATTGTGTTGTTTATGAGTGATGTTTGTTTCCTGGGACAATGTGCCTGGATTTATTTGCCCCTTTTGGAAAGAGCCTACCAATGTTATCCTTACTCTGTCAGGAAAATTGATATGGAAACTCTCCAGAGAGGATGATTATTATATATTTGCATAACTTCCTTTATCAACTATACCACCTTGGGGAGGGAAAGTTATATTCATGATCTTTAATTTTTTTTTTTTTTTAGTCTCAGGCTTCATTGCAGGTTCATCTATATCAGTGGTGGCGAACCTATGGCACGTGTGCCAGAGGCGGCACTCAGAGCCCTCTCTGTGGGCACACATGCTGCCGCTGCCAGCAACTTGCACAGGTCCATTAGGCCACCACCGCTGCCCGGAGCGGCAGCCCCACCCAGCACAAAGGAGGCAAAGCAGCCAGCTTTGCCTAGCAAGCTCAAGTAGAGGTGGTAGAGCACGCCCACACCCAGGAAGCCAAAGGCCACCCTGAGCAGGGAAAGCCAGATCCCCATCGTTGCCATGGCCCCCCAGTCCCAGCTAGGATTGCGTGCCTCCCCCCATCTATGCTGGACCTCCTGCCTACCGCCCCACCCACCAGAGACCCCCTGGATCTCCTTCAACCTTGCCCGGCCCCCACAGGCATCCCCCCCATGAGCAACATCAAGGCCAGGCCCACCCCAGACACTCCTCCCAGTCAGCCGTGACAACCGCAGCCACGCCCACCCAGTGGGCTACGCGCCCATGCCACTTGAGGCCACAATGCTAATGCGGCCCTGGCACTTTGCGATAAATAAGTGGGTTTTGGGTTGTGGTTTGGGCACTCGGTCTCTAAAAGATTCGCCATCACTGATCTATATGTAATTTATGAATGTTATTGAAGTGTGTTTGTTTAAACCATTCAGGAGATCACTATATGAAATTCCAGATTGAGTTAAATATTTCTGAGTTTCTTTTATTTTAGTTTCAGACATTTTATTTTTTTGTTTTTAAAATAACCTTGGCTGTTTGCAATTTCATTTTTAACACAATTCTTAGAGTAATGTTTAAAAACTAGAAATTAAACATAAAGCATGCTTTTTAACAATGGACTTGATTCCTTTCCCCTCCCCCTCCCCTCCCCAGTGGTTGGCACAAGTCTATCAGTCACAAGGAATGATGGTTGCTGCAGAAATGTGTTACCGAAAAAGTCTAAAATTGGCATCTCAGCAAGGCAATTTGAGTGGGAAACTCTCTAGTCTTCTAAGACTTGCTAAACTTGCCCTGGAAATCTGTATGGTAAGAGTGTAAATTGTTAAATAATAAAATTAATAAATTGCAGTAATGTGATACTAAAATTGTTTTTCTCAATTAACCATTATGGCAGGAATCAGAAAATATACAGTCAAGATATTTTGTCTATGCAAATTGTATGATAAAGTAAATTGTACTATCAGGTTTCATCACAAATGTACTATGAAATAATAGTATTTGTCAGCTATAAATAGCTCTTAGAGATTTATGCTTTTTTAAAAAAAAGATATTCCACACTGTCATGATTGTGAATTTTTAAAATTTATAATTCTAGAAATTTAGTTGTTAACAGCATATACTGTACATACAGCTAAAATAACCAGTGATTTCTCTTTAATACTGGAAGTCAGGTCATTATTCTGTTAGTAGAATCAAGAATTCTTTGTTAAAATAATTAATAGTGGGGAGTATAGTTTTATATGGTGGGTTACTTATGAAAGGGGATACTGATTAGAGAGTTTCAAAATAATATTCATGACTTAAGACCTCTTTTTGTCGATATGGAGGGAACAGTTGCATAAAAAATAGATTTAAATAAATATTTGGTAACATTAGTAGCTTTGACTAATCCATTTTACCAAAAGAGCTAGAAAGCTACTTCATTATGTTGGAATTTGATGCTACTTTTTATACTAATTAAGAGGTGAATGGAAAAGATGATATATCACTATGAAACTATTTGTAGCTCTTAATTGCTGCGAGACATAATGGTGTTAGATATAAGTAACTGGTTTTTCGTTTTTTGTTTGTTTGTTTAAAGGCTAATGTTTCAAATGATCACTGGCCATCTCTAGTTCAAGAAGCCACAACAGAAGCTATGAAAATTTCCTTCTGTCCGCTGGGTATTCTATTTCAAGCACTTATGCAATATAATCGCAAAATGGGTTCACGGTGGGTATGGATTTGTGTATTACATGGCATTCATTTATGAATGTCGCTACATTTTTATTTACCCTAATTCAAAAATATCTAGATAGCATAAAATAGAAAACAGTTGAGGGTTGCTGTCATAAATTATAAAATTATAATAAGATGCAGTAGAGCAGTGTTTCTCAACCTTGACAATTTTAAGGCATGTGGACTTCAACTCCCAGAATTCCACAGCCAGCATTGCTGGGAGTTGAAGTCCACATGCCTTAAAATCGTCAAGGTTGAGAAACACTGCAGTAGAGAGTCTTGTTTGATGGAGACAAAATCCCTAATGGTCAAGGTCTAAACTTGTTATTTCCCTGTGAGGACATGGTTGTTGCAAATTGCTGTGAAAGTTTTATTGTCAGAGGCCATTTAAAACTGCAGAATAAATTGCCTGTTTGGGAGCTTTATAGGAAACTCAAACCAGTATTTCTGGCTGTTATACAGCAGCTTTGCTTGCATGGAAATATTCTTTGAACTGGGACCAAGAGTCTGATTGAGAGATAATGAAGACATTTTCTCACCTGTAAACAGTCCACATCTATCTAACAGGCTGTTTCTGCATCATCTTAATGGGGCAGTTCAGTATTTCACTCTCTTTTAATAATGTGTTATATTTAGTTTTATATTGTAGAATATAACCTTTTTCTGCTCATTTGTACTGAGAGAAAATCATTCTTACTTGTAAATATGAATTCATGTAAATATAAGTATATATTTGAATATCTAAAATGCTGCAGATTTGTACTTATTTTGCCATTTCTTATTACTTCTTATAATAATCAGTATTCTACTTTTTCTTTGTAGAGAAACACGTCGTATGTTAGAGAGAGTGGTATATCAATCTGGATTTCCAGAAACTGTAGTATCAGTTGCCCGATGGTATCTCTTAAGACATTTATATGCCAAAAATGATTATGAATTAATAGACGTAAGAACCATTTCATATTTTATAAATATATATATATATATAACTTATATATATAAGTTTCTCAATGCTTTATTTGGGAGTTTAATATGTCCCAGTGTTATTTATTTAGGTGAATATATTAAATATACTGAATTTCATTTGCAAAAAAAAACATTAACATTGCACTTACGGAATATTCTTCTCAGGAAACACCATTAGAATTTGTGTTTAATAGCTTTAATTAAGGATTACAATTTTATATTTGTAGTAAGCTACATTTGATTTTGTTGTATCTTTTTTCAGTTCAGTTGTTTGCATTTATAAGTTGTATCACTCATTTTAATCTTTTTAGAAGAAAGATAGTTAAAGAACTTTAAATATATAGTTAAAGTATGTTAGGTAAAGAAATAATATTTGGAATACTGAAAGTAATGTGATATACCATAATGTATTCATGAATCAAAAGTGCTCATTAATCATACAGTTGATGAACAGTAACCATCAGGTTATTAAGAAAAAATAGAGAACATTGATTACAGTTGACAGTGATTTCAGCAATTAAAGAGTTTTCCTTAATATTGGATTGGGTTTTTTTTATAAAAGTTTTATTAATTTTTAAAAATTAGTCTTTAGTGCTTAGTAAACAACATGTTGTCTGGGTTCAAATATTTAACATTAACTTCTTCAATATAAATCTGTTCAATACTACACAGTTCAGTATTTTTCCCTGATCCTTCTTTCTTCTCCATATTTTTTCCATTTTCCCCTCATTACACCATTACAATTTTTGGTACTGTTAATGTATACAAAGTTAGATATAAGCATCTTCATCATACTTTACTAATATCATACAAATAACAATGATATCAATTCACAAATCAATAATGTCAATTCATTATTCAATATCCTGTTCTTTGTGCTCTTGTTAAGGTTTGATTTCCCATCAGTATTTGAAATATGTTTATCAGTTATGATTTTCTCAATATTAATTACATTTATATAGCTAAAAGTTTTATTCAAATCAACCCTCTTATCTTCATATTTCCCATATCAAAAAAAGAGAAAAAAATGCTATCTTAATTCTAAATCATATCTTTCATTATAAAAGTCTAATTATATCTAAGGGTCATCCGTTCTTTTAATCTTATTCAAACAAGTATTTAAACATATGCTCCCTCTAAAACAGACATGTCAAACTCCCGACGTCATGTGACGTCGCACAACATATCGAGACGGTTTTGCCATTGCCAGCAATGGGGTGGGCGCGGCTTCCGGATGACTCATCTGGCCCACAGGCCGGCAGTTTGATACTCCTGCTCTAAAAAGTCAAATCTTCTGTTTTTTAAATCTGACTCTCGCTTTCTTTCTTTGCCAAGTTGCTTTCCAAGCCAGGGCAATTAGATCGCCCAGAAATTTTCTTTCTATTTTTGTAAAAATTGCTTGGAATGAAGAAGATAATTTAGGTAGGGTATTTTTGGGGGGAATTCTGCCCATTTATATTCCTTAAACAACTCCCAGTTCCTTTCTCCCCCCATTTCTCTTTTCATTCCCTGTCTCCCAAGTTGTGACATTTCCCTTAACAGCTCTATATTCCCCTTTTTAAAATCTTTCTTGCCATCAGATATATTTTGCAGACCTAAGGGGTAAAAGGTCTTTTGCATTTTTATTGTTATAGCTAAGTCTGCAGTATTTTTTTTGTATATAGTCGTTTATATTTCTCTTTTATCTCTTCCATCTCTAAATTCATTTCCTCTGTTTCGTCTTCTGACTTCTGGATTATTTGTTCATACTTTGTAGTCATTATCTGAGAACTTTCTAGTTGTAGATTGAATTTAGAGATTTGCTCGTTTATATTGTCTAAATTGCTTTTAGTCTCATTGTGATTTCTTTTTATGTCCTTTTTGCATTCAACAATTGTTTGGTGAATTAGTTGTAGCATAGAATATATTTCTTTCTGAAAGGTGTTTGTTTTTTCTTGAGGCATCATTCCTTGAGATCCTTTACTGTCACCAGACTCAGTAAGAGTAGATCAAAATTTCCTCTAGTTTTCTGGTCTTTATATGTATCCTTTATAATCCAATAGATTCCAAAGTATAGGTTCAGTTCTGAACAATATTTTATAGTAATCCTTTGTCTCAAGTATCCAAAAATTGTCAGGCAAGGTTGTAATCCACAATGTTCGAAGTGTTCAAAATGTTCAACCTCTGTGAAAACAGCTCAAAGGTCTCTCCCAGCCAGGCGTAGTCCAAGGTCAAATTTTTCTTTCTCTCCCACTAGCTATTAAAGTTAAAAGTCCAAGCTCAGTAGGTATTTATAATCCAAGAAGGTCAGGGTGATAAGTATGCCAAAATATTTTCCTTTATTGCTAGCTGTTCTCCCAAGCTAGGAATCACCAAGGAACCAGGAAACAAATTATACTGCTATACACAAATCCACCACTAGGTGTCATTCAAAGTCCATTTTCCACTCTTAAAAACAAATGATTGATTTCTTATATTTCACCTCAATGTTTTTTTTTCAAAGAGAAAATCTTAACAGTTATCTCAGTTCTCAAATTTATCAAAGCTGTAGCTTTATGTTACTTCCATTTCAATATTGTATGTTTCTGTCCCCCATAAAATTAAAATGCCACTTCTGTTACATTCGGAGGTTTTAGCTTCTTGGGAGCCTTTCCCAGGAAATTCAGTTGTAAAATAGTAAAGAAAGGATCAATATTCTCATCCAGTTCCAAACATGTTGTTTACGATGTATTAAGTAGTGCTTTTTTCTTCTTCGGTTGTCAGCAGCTAATGGCCGGCCACAGGAATGTAGCTGGTCTTTCCCCTGCCGGTTTGGAGGGCTTTCCTTGGATTGAACGGAAAGACCGCCATTTCTCCATGATCTATAAAGCACTCCTCCTCTTCCATCGCCTCTTCGGGGTGATTTTAGGCCCTTTTTAGAGCCCCCAGCAGGGCGAAATTGGGCACGGAAGGCAGAGCCCTGCCTTCCTGCGTCCCATCTCACTGTGACACAAACCGGAAGTCCCTTAATATTGGATTGTTTATTAATATGGCTGCCCATCCTGCAAATATAACTCTTGAGTAGCTGACCACACATTAAAATGATTCTGGAAAAAAAAGAATAACAATAATGGAGGATTAAAACCCACAATGGATACCAAAAATAAACAATTGACAAAGGCCTTTCAACGAGACATCTGGCCTCTCAACCGCAAGGCCCTGGAGGTGAACAGGTTTGAGCCGAATCTGACCTTTTGGAGGATGGTATTTGTGACAAAAAAGGTACTATTAGTTGAACTGCCCTTTTGTTCTTCTATTTTCCCCTAATTCCTTTTTGTTCCTTCATATAATAAATGTAATCTGAAGTAGCAATGGTTGAAGTACTTGATCTGCTTTCAACAAAAAGGACAGTTACCACTGCTAAGTGCAAGGAGTCATTAGATTCCCCCACCCTCACCTCTTACATGTTCATACCAATTGTGACCTGTTTCAGTTTTAAGTATTGAACAGAGTAAAGGTGGGATGGGGACTTTGGCTATCTTGCCATAATCCTTGGAAGAATAAACTAAGAAAAATAAAAATAGAATAAAAATTAAAAATAGCATGGAGGATAGTACATTACTTATTTAACTCCCCTCACTAACCAGACATCAAACTGTAAGTTGCAAAACTAGCGGTGTGCACAGGTTATGTTTTCTTTCGAACCCCAAACAAACCATCTTGTTCTGGAAATTATGCTTTTGGGTTAGCTGTGTATGAAAATCCAAAATAGGTTTTGGTGTTGCTGGGTTTCAGCTGAAACAAAATTCAAAGACATCTAATGATTTTACAGGGCTAGCAGAACAATGCTGAGATACTTCCCTTTCCCTTTACTTCTGGGTGGCCATGTTTCCCCTCATCTCAGTGCTTCCCTTTGCTCCTCTGCTCCCCCCCAAAACTACTGCTGCTAAAGCCCCAGTGCAGCAGATCCTATAGGCCTTCCAATCTTCCTTATCTCTTCCCTCTCTCTCCAATTCCTCTTAGTTGCTGCTAATGTATCTACTTTTGCACCTCTTGGTTATTACAATGGTCTTTGCAATAAAGTTCAAATTCCCAGCACAGCTTGCCCCCATTGGTTTAGCACTTGCCTAGCACTTTTCCTGCCTCTCACAAGCTGCTGCTGATGCCTAGATGTGCCCTTAACAATGAAAACCCTCACTCTTTGGCCTGTTCTTCTTCCCCACCCTCACACTCTTCAGCCCCATTTCATTCTGTATATAATCCAAACATCTGAAAGATGGATGTTTCAGAGCAGGTACAGACTACCTTAAAGCAGCAGTCCCCTGCATGGAATGGTTTGGCTCAGAAGGTTTTGCAATCCCTACATACAACTAAGTGGCCTATTTAGCTTGTGATTGATTAGCAAGTAAGTGAACATCCTTAACTCTTATACTCTGAGATACTCACATTAATGCGTAATTCTTTTTTTCTCCGCTTTCCGAATTCTGCAGGCTCTTACAGCAAATGCCAAAGCTAATGGAGATATTCGAGTTTTGGAATTAGACAAGAAACTCTCAGCAGCAGACTCCTAGCACAAACATTAGTGAGGAATCAGAATAACTTTGGAGGCTTTTGGAAACAACATCTTCATGACAAATACCTTGATTTTAAATCATAAGTGCTAACAGTCCAATTTATATTAAAGAGAATCAGTTATTAAACTATCCAATTGAAGTTCTATTGAAGTATACCTAATCTGTGCTCCTACTGAGAAATTACAGTGAATACTAGTGACCTTGGAAAGCAGAAAGGTTTTGATCTCTGCTCTAGAGGTAAATGTGACAGATTTCTGTCTTTAAAAAGGAGCCTTAATAATACGTCCATGTGTTAAATAAACTTTGGACTATGTCTATCTTCATAGTATGCTAAGACTTTGCTGTTTCTGTCCATGTCATTTTTTTTTACTATTTAGCAATGTATCTTTCTACAGCTTCTCAAACAAAATAAATAACCTTTAACTTGGTGATGAAACAATAAAATCTGTTGAAACACTGTTTACATCTTACTCTGCGTGCAGAAATTTGTAATTCAGAACTTTATAATTTCAACCAACCATTATTTTCCTGGCTATATTTAATGTTATGTTTCATGGCTGTCTTTCACAGTACAGTTGAAGTAAACCTTTGATTTCAGAGAGATGATGGGCAGAGCCTGAGAAAAGTAGATTTTCAGTTTTGTTGTGTTACTCATTATCTTCATTAGAGTCCATTTTGAAAATAAATACTTTTAGTTTAAATTAGATTCAAGGATAATATGAGGCCATAGTACTTGATGCTCCTTGTTCATCAAGTTCAAGATGTTTCAGAGTAGAATACTTTAGAACACAGCATGAAATGGATGGCAAATATGAAGTAGGACATCCTTACAATAGAGCTAGATGTTATTTCATTGTTCTTTTTCTTAAATTGTTTTTGATGTACAAATGTTGGGCTATAATTTGGAGCCAAAGGATGGAGAGTTGTATTTTTCTTTCAATTTCAAGCCATTTCTGTGATTTAAAATTCTCTTGTTTTCTACTGTCGCCACCCCCCTCCACCTCCACAATAAAATATACCAGAAAAAGAAAGGTTAAGAAATATTTCTTCCACATTAAATTCCACTTTAATTAAATTTATTATATTTACATGCTGTCTGACTCCCAACTACTCTGGGAAGGGCAGTATGCAAAATATGAGACCCAATACTTTTTGACTGAATTGCTCATATTTAACCCCTCTTAAAAATTCTTCACATAAATGCATTAAGCTCTTCTTTTTTCTTTTGTAATGTGGTTTTTATTGATAATGGCCATCAGTTTGTTTGTCATTAAAGTGAAATTATATTTGTTGTTCTGTTAATCATTAGATAATTACAGTAAATCTACATTTCAGTAGAATGGATAGTTCCTTTGAAGAAATAGTTCTTAATTTTAGATATTCATATTCAGTACTGCCCTTGCAAACATCAATTACGGAACCTACTTCTGACGTAAAGGTTGACGAAATGATTCAGTCTGCATTTTATGAAAATGTCAGAATTTTTACTGTTTATAAAAACATTTCCCATATTTGCCTAGTTAGTCCCTGCTCCTTTTGAACTATGTGCCCCTTCCCTTTTTTTGGCTGTCGGATTTGAGAAGGTAAAAACTAATAAAGGACACCATCTGCTATTGTATTAGAATAATTCTATATTTTTTAAAATCAGTTTTTTTCCCTCCCTACATTAGAAAAGGGTTTATAACGGGTCTTCAAACATAGCCCTTTTATGACTTGTGGACTTCAACTCCCAGAATTCCTCAGCCAGGCTGAGGAATTCTGGGAGTTGAAGTCCACAAGTCATAAAAGGGTCAAGTTTGAAGACCCCTGGTTTATAAGATTACTGTTTATAAGATTACTACTATCTAGCCTATAAACCTAAGATTCTTCATCAAGTTTCAGTGCTATACAGAAGCAAATATAATCCCCCAAAAATGAACATGAAGAGGAGAAATTAATTACTTTCCCCAGTGCTTTACAGCTTGAGGATATTACTACTGGAACTGCTATGTTAAAGAATAGGTTCCTTTCAGGTTATTGGCCCCAATTCTTCCTATTCACTCAAATAATTCCATCAGAACTGATGGAACCTCATAGTTGATGCTTTAGTATTTTTTCTTCAGAGAATTATTTGAAGTGTTGCAATGAAGTTTCTTTCAGGAAACAGAAATGTTACACAGCAACCTTTGCATTATTCAACCACCAGATTTCTATTTTATAGAAGACTGCAAAGCAAGTTCCATTTGAATTTTTAAGAACATTTTCTCCTCAAAAACTGATGGTGACTTATCTGGAATCTCATTGTTAGAAAATGTACTGTACATGAGAGTTGGTCTAAGGAGGGGGTATGTTGCTTGTATCTTTTTTCTAATTCCATACCTACCTTGCATATCTATTCCTCAGAATATTTATGGGCATATGGCTACATTTTTGCAAACTTAAGCTTTTTCCTTCTTACAAATAAATAGCAGAATTAAAAACAAAATGAAAAACAATTTGATAGCTAGAAAACTGCATGTAAAAGTTCTCATTTGAATTCGCAGAACAATTGAAATTGTAAAAGTTCTTCATAACATTAGACAAATGTTTTAGGAAAAGTATTTGTCTTTTTCATAACTGATAACAAAATTACACAAGTGAGCTAGTAAGGTTGTTTTAGCTTCTCTGTAAAGGCAGAGGCTCCTAATTTGTAAACCTCAGGATATAATTGCAGATATTTGGTTGTAATGATTTGTCAAAATAAATCAAGCAATGACTTACACAACTTACTATTAGTCCTTGCATTTTATTTTTTTTCAAACATAAATGAAGTGTTAATGTGTTTCTATTTTAACTTATGTCTGTTCAGCACTATCACAGTGTTTTTTGTCCCAGATTTACAGGAAAACAAGTCTGATAATGTAGAAACAAGAAGTTAACTTTTAAAACTTTTTTAGTATTTTTCCTTGATGGAACAAATGTAAATGCTAAACAAAATGTATTAGTCTTTGAGTTCAGTGAGTTTTCGTCGTAGCTTTTTCATATCTTGTTTGAATTTCTCTTCTTCAAGTTTCAGCTTTGTTGTCTGTATATGTTTGAGTGCGTCAAGAGAATCACGGATAGATTGAAATCCTGGCAAATAAGGCATCTTTTAGTAAAGTTGATAAAATTATCATTAATATCAAATTTTGTGTTTATACAGCATTTCAAAATAATTTTTAACTTGCTTCTTAGCTTAAGGTCATCATTTGATCTATCATTTAATGTGTCATTGAAATATTTTATGAACATTTTTTTTTCAATTAAGCGAATGTGACCAGCTTTAAGATGAATTAGTTCAGTTCTCCTTTAGTGCATAATAATGTAATGCCTGAAATCAGACTGATTAAAAGTATATATATATTTTCTGGTAAGACTAGAAATCAAAACAGACCTGAATTGACAATTTCTCTATTTAACAAATTAATTGGTTATTTCTGCTGAAAGTTTATTTTTGGCCTTTATGACAGAAAGATTTATAAATTGAACCACAGCAAGAAGACTTTTGGTTTTCCTGCTTATGCCATGATTTGGTAATCTGGAGAATGATAAAGTTGTGTGGCTATATAACACACATGCAAATGCACAAATGCATGTAAGTTTGAAAAATAACCTCACCTGATCTGTATTCATTTTGCATTCCTTCCAGTTCATTCCACATCAGCTTTTCAAATCTGGTAATCTTTGCATGTAGTTTATTTTGATCATTTTTCACCTGACTGATTTCCACATCAAATTGCAATGTTTTTTCTGTGTTTTCTATTCTTTTGGAGATATAGTATAACCCATCTTCCAATTTTTTTTCCACTATTTCCTTTTAAAAGAGGTATTGTGAAAAATGAATAGAATTACTCTACTAAAAATGTTATATTTATTCATTCAGTATAAAGGAATGAAATTAACCCTGCTTCTCTGTTAATTTTTTTCTGTAGACATTCTATAATTTTTATAATTATTTTTATTTGTAAACATTTACAAAAATGATAGATCTCATTTCCCAGTAAAATAGGTAACTAACTTTTTATGGAATAGCCAAGAAGTTGAGATGGATTTAAAGCTAATCTGGTGTACAAGGCTTCCAAATTTTTTGATACACATTTTACTATGAAACTCTGAAGACGTTTCAGCTTATAAAAATTGTTTGGTACAGTAAAGGCAAGGAAAATCCAAAGAAATGTGGGATATCAAAATGATTTGCATGAAGTGTAGATCTGACATGTATATAGTACTATTTACTACAAAAGCCTTTTTCAAGATTTTCAGTTGAACTTGAGAAAAAATGCTGCCTCTTATTTTCTGGCTCATGTAGAAGTCTGGAAAGAAAATGAGATGAACAACTGGCCATGAAGCAGCAACTCTTTCATCATGTTTAGATCCAACATCATAAAATGCTGAACATTGTAACTAAGATCCAAGTTACTAATTAAAGATGTAGGTAGCAACTACATTGGTTTCCTATTTTTTTAAATTAAAACCTAGTCAATTATGGCTTAAATTCAGATAGGTTGGTCTCTGCAATTTAGATTGTTCAAAATTGTGGATCATTTTTTGGCAATCTAGTTTGTGACTCTATCTGGATCAACACCAGTTCTGCTTGTCTACTCTCCAGCAATTCTCCATGCTACGTTTTGAACAAAAACACTATATTTTTAAGAGAGTGCTTAATTTGACTATGAGATTGCTTTTCTCTTTCTCATACTTTTTTCTTGTCATCTTTTTATTTTAAATGGTATGCTTGCAAGTAATTCCAATATTTATAATTTGCTTGGGAAATCTTGTTGACTGAACAGTGGGAAATAAGCCCCTCTCTGAGGAAATGGGTGGTTAAATACGAAATATAAATAGTTTTTAATACTTTAAGAAAAACAATTGTATATTCTACTTTATAAATGTACTTCTATTATCAAATGTTTTTATTCATTTTTGTTATTAGGTTCTTCATTACGTTTTTAAGTTACTAAGCAGATACAAACATAATAAAAGTTAAACATCCCAAGGTAGAATCTGAAGATTTAAAACTGGTAGAGCCATTTCTAACTGATGAGGAGCCTACAGTGATTTTGTTTCAAAAAAATCAAAGCACTTAGTAAACATTGATTTAAAGCTTCAATAGTTTTAATCAATAAAATACAACATTTAAAACTTGCTGCATGATGCAATAATTTAGGATTAGCAATCACACAGTATATCTTTTAGATTATTTTATAAAACAACCAAATTGTCTACTTTTGAAACTGAACTGTTCCAGTTTATCACACCAAGTGCTCCTCTCCCCCTCGCAAAAAACAAATTTGAAGAAAGTTGTGTTTAGATACGAGTGTCCTGATCCTGGATCAGCTACTTTCTGAAGCTAAACACTCTGTCTAAGGATGAATCCAACATCCTTCTTCTTGTCAAAAACTCAAGCTGTAATTCAAGATTGCCGTTTGAAAAAGGAACACTCTGCCATCTGTTAAGAGACTTATTTAAGATGGCATATTTTATTGCCTGCGACTGAAAGAACATCCATAATGTAGCAGCTTAAAATCCATACATCTCTTGACTGTCTCAGGTCCCCAAAGTAACCTTAGTATATTACCTTTCTCCAGCAATATATTGAACACAAAATGCAAACATGGATGGCCTTTCAACGTCTGGTAATAAAATCTGATTGGCTCTTATACTCCCTTCAGGTGTTCCTGATTTCTGTACTTCTGTTGTAGGTTTTTTGTGAGATAGTCTTCTCACCATCTTATTCCCCCGAATTCTCTGCTGCCTCATTTCCATCACTCAGAGAGCCAGTATTACTCATGTGAGATCACTGAAAATGTTAACCAGATCTAAACACTTTTCTGTTTAAAATCTGCTCTTCTTTTATAAAAGCAGCTTTTTGAGAAAGCGTGTTATGCTTGTATTCTTTGCATGAATTACAACCGTACTTACCAATCTGTCCTTGATTGTAGCAAACAGCTGGTTTGTGAGATGGATTTGCTCTTGTTCAGATCTCCTCAACTCACTTTCGATCCACTTTCGTTGGTTTTGAATTTGATCTTTAAAATCATTTAAAATAC